TAAGCTGTTGGAGGAAGAATCAGTTTTGTTGTGTGTTTCCTTGACTGATGAAGCCCTCTGGATGGAAGGTGAAATGTTTCAGTAAAAAAGAAACTGTCCAGATGACCTGACTGAAAACTGTTGGATTGTATACCTGGATTATTGAGCATGGACTTTGTTATAATCACGATCAAAACAACTTTAATCTCTAAACTAGGAAAAGTCTTCATTTGTTTTTCTACCATGTGACCCTAAGACTGTACACTAACGTAGCACAGTCTTTATTTTAAGCACCCATCAGACATTTCCTCATCATTTACAGGAAGTTTTGGCCCCAAAATAGTCTGAAAATGATAAATGAATGTTCTGGAGGAAGCTTGATCCCCTCATAAAGTTTAGTTTACAGTAACTACAGAAACACATCGTGTCATCGTGTGTATATTGAATCATTCACACTAAAGGACGTGATGGACACCTCTTGTCTTTTACCTGAAGTTTTGTTGTTCTTGATTTTTGTACTTCTAAACGTTACATTTGCGTTGGCAGCGTTTAAAAGGGCAGACAGGATTGTAAATGACCTGCTCTTTCTGTTGTTTGAAAACTAAAATTGCTTTAATCTCTCCAAAGTGAAAATAACACGTGTGTGTCTCAGGCTGGCAGATTATGATGTGGTGGTGACCACATTTAATTTGGTCTCAAAGGAGATCCCTGTCCAGAAAGAGGACGCTCACAACCCCTGCAAAGACCCAGATAATGTGGTAAATACAGAACGCAAAAGAATGGCTTCTTGCAAAAGCAGCATCATTCTCAGTACAATGATAATGAAGCTTTTTCTGATAAAGATGATTTCAGTAGATGCTTGGCTTAGATTACATCAGACTGAAATAACAAGTAAATGAGATGAAACTGAAAGAAGTGCCATGTTTCTTCAGCCATCACGCTCAGCCACTCTTCTGCGTGTAGCCTGGGCCCGCGTGGTTCTAGATGAAGCTCACAACATCAAAAATCCAAAAGTGCAGACGTCCATGGCGGTCTGCCAGCTGAGGGCCCACGCTCGCTGGGCTGTCACGGGCACACCCATCCAGAACAACCTGCTGGACATGTACTCGCTGCTCAAGTAAGTCAGAAGCACCGCGGCCCAACTGGCTCTTAGTCCTGTGAGGTTTTCTGTGACATGTCAGTCACACAGAACACAGGGTTGTGTTCTGTGTGATGATTTAGAGAAGTGATGAAGTCAGCTCGTTTTAAGAATGAAAGTGTTCATTGATCGTCTCTTCAGGTTTCTGCGTTGTTCTCCATTCGATGAATACAAACTCTGGAAGGCTCAGGTGGACAACGGCTCCCTGAGAGGCAGAGAGAGACTCAACCTCTTGACCAGGAGTCTGCTGCTGCGACGGACCAAAGACCAGCTGGACGTGACAGGAAAACCTCTGGTAAAGACGCCCGCTCCTGCCTCATGAAGACCAAGGCAGAGTGTTCGCCAGTCGGGAAGGCCTTGTTCGTTCAACAAGTCCAAACACTACATTTGTTTCAGTGTTATTGTGAAGGCATACCAAAGGAGAAGTGTTGAATGTTTCAGGTGCTTCTTCCTACTCGGACCTGTGAGGTGCACAAGCTCAAGCTGTGCGAGGACGAGCAGGCAGTGTACAACGTGCTCTTCACACAGTCCAGGTAATGATGTTTACTTCATTTGTTTCAAATCACCTTTAGTGTAAGAAACACTAAAGAACAATACATTTTACTTCATGTATTATTGTTCAGACACGTCAGGTGGGAGTTCTTCATGGACAATAACATTTTGATGGTATTTCAGCTGCTTTTGTTCTCCTCGGTTTTGTTGTTAGAAGTTGTCATGTTTTTGGACGTTATTGAAGAAGTGACTTTACAGGAGGCCACAGTAAGTGGGTGGTCGGTGCCGCGGTCTCATAATCCTGAGGCTGACAAGCTTGAGCCACGGTTGGGTCCTGAAGGGCATCTGGTGTAAAACACCTGTCAGATGTTTCACCTGAGTTTGCTCGCTGTAACGCCCTCTGCAGAAGGGATCAGCTGAAAGAGGAGACCTTGGATTCCTGCTGCATTAATCTGGGCAGGAAAACAATGAAGGGTTCTCATTCAAATTGGCATTTTATTAAAAAAAAGAAAACTAAAAGGTTTCTCTATGCAAAACAAAAACTATTAACCCAACAGAGTTAAGTCAGGTCCTCGGGCCGGTTTCTTTTTGTTCCAACGTTTTGTCTTTCATCCAAAAGACTTCGTCAGTCTGAGGAGCCACAACAAACTCTGTGTAATAAATACAACAGTCCCTCGTTTATCACGGGGATCTGTATCCTGAAGCCCTGCGACAAGTGAAAAACCACGAAGAAGGAATAGTAGTACAAATAGTAAGTAAAAGTTCATTTTAGTATTTATATATATATATATGTATATATATATATATATATACACATACATACAGTGAGGAAAACAAGTATTTGAACACCTGCCTATCAGCAACACCAGAGGAAACAATCATCAACAAATGTGATTTACATCCAGAAAAAAGGAATTGATGTTTCTAAAAGTAAAATCTCAGAATGAAAGTAGCAGAGCTGCTCCAACATGCAGCCACCTGGAGCAGCGCAATTCTACAATTTCTAAGTGCGAGAACGTGCAGTCGCAGGGTGTTCAAATGCTTATTTTACTCACTATGTATATCTATATATATATATATGTATGTGTGTATATATATATATACACACATACATATATA